GCGAAATATCCACTTCGCTACAAATATCTTCGAAGTGCCCTAAGTCGTGGCGCAAGTGCAAATCGGTACTCATTTTAGGAATACTGTTTCCTATGTGGGAGACAAACATCCTGACAAAATTTCAGTCACTGTTTTCTGGCAAGTTTTAGAGTTAGCACAGTACCAAGTTACAAAATTTGACGTGGTCGCATGCGCTGCATAAGCGTGCGCGATAGCTGAATTTGAAATCTTTAGTTCGCACATGCTCAGAGAATATCCCTGCAAATTTTCAGCTTTGTACCTTGCCTGGTTCGTGAAATCGTTTCCCGCCAACAAAATTTGCAATTTTTTTCGGGGTTCCCCACGTGGGATCTAGGCGTTTGTAGGGGAAGATCTTGAAACGGGAGGATACCGCACAAGGTACGGACACAAAGTTTCATATACCCAAAGTTTCAGCTCTCCAACTTTCCTGGTTGCTGAGATGAAAGTGGGTGACAAAAAGCACTCGCTTATGAAAACACACACACAGACAGCCTCTCGGCAATATGTGTTTTTGCTGGCTGTAGCAGTGATATAGCTCTGCACAGAAAAAACGCATAATAAGGGTTGTTCAGCTCCTCTTCAAAATAATTTTGGTCTTGTATCTCCTCGAACTAAATTCGTGTTTCGCTACGGTGAACGGAACTCTCGTTGTCTGCCTAATGGGATGAACCCGCATGCTCAGCTTCAGACTTGCCAGAACCATTCATTTCGTGTTAATTGTTTGCAGCTAATTATTGCGGTTCCAAACACATGCTCACACCATCTTCTTGAAGTTTGCTTTTCAGTGTGGGCATTAAAGATCAGTCTGAACACTCCGGCAAATCGAGACAGTCTTTGATTAATGTTTCACATGAAAGAATTAAAGGGGGGGAACACGTTTCGCGCATAAAACGGTGCTATTTCGAGACTGGCAAAATCCATAAATTTTTCGAATTCTTCTCTTCCAGGTTTCCGTCATATGACCTTTTAACACAAAAAAAAAGTGCGCAGTTGAACTGCAGGAGACGATTCAGTGGAAGACTGCACGAAATTCCTGCAAAAGCAGTTTCAACGTTGCATACCGAACAGGCAAAAATATTTCGCATTCGTAACGACAGCAACGGATACGAACAACATCGATTTGGTGTTCAGTTCAGCGGTTGCCCATATCGTCAACCAGAATCTCAAAGCTACCGGCCTTCACGAATAATGTGCATTATTTTTCTGTACATATTACGGCGGCTGGGCGTTGTCCATCCACCACTTGTTGCTTTTTCATTTAGTCCATTGCGTTCAAGTCTGATGAAACCTTTTTTTACATTTGTAAAATAGCTCAGAGAACGCTCATGTACTTTTCCTCACTCCTCTTTCCACAAGACCCGATTCTAGCAAAGAAGCAGTGATTATGGTAACTATGCAACAGCATTTCAGCGAATAACTTCAAAGCAGCCATTTCTTTCTCCTAATTTTCGAACTACCGCTGCACTTACTAGAAAAAAAATGTCGTTCCAGGCATAAATGAAATTTGAACAGACACTTCTCCTTAGTCTTGTTGTTCATGCTCCATCTTTGGAGAGGCTACGCTTTTAACTACGGTGCTTTAAGAATTTTTAGGGTTCTGTTGTAATTTTGCAAGGACTGTTCTATGGGCCATTCGCACCTCATTTGCCTGCCTCTTTTCAGCGCATTTTTTTGCTAATAGTTGGAGCGATACAGTACCTTTGGAATCCTGTAATACCAGCTCACTTCAAATCTTTCACTAGAGGAAATATCGCCCCAGTGCATGCAGGCTCGATCCCTGCTTAAGGGTTCTTCCGCGTTTCCGTTTTTTGTATCCGACCAATGTTAAGTTTCATTCCTGATGCGCAAGAGCATCCTAGGCCTGACCTTTCTGTTACCGTAGCAGCAAACTCTTCTAGGCAAGAGCTTTGCCAATCCACAACTGACTAACCCCCTTGAAATTACGCTGATCGGTGCTTGCTTCACGATCAGGTAGTCACTGAACAGGCTTGGATAAGATTTATAGAGTTCAGAAATATTTCCAAGAATGTTCTATGCTTTTTTTAGACAGAAACATATTCGCCGTACCCTCACATCGTATTAACTGCAGTGCCTTCACGTAATAGCTAAACAGATTCATAGGCGGGTTCCGGACGGGCTCCTGCGAGGCTGGGGGGCCGGGGGGCGGAGGAGGGGGGGGGGGGGGGGGGGGGGGGGGGGGG